GTGCTGAGGCCGGGCTAGCGTGAGCCGAAACCCCGGCTTAGCGTGTGCTGAGGCCGGGATAAAGTGAGCTGAGGCGGCGGGGTCGAGATCCGACGAATGAGCGGCAGCCACATGTGACGGACCCCGAGCTGGATTCCGCTTCGTCCACGGTGAAAGTTGATGTATTCCCTCAGCGACCAGCACAGATCAGCTCCAGGCATGACGAAGCGGATATCGTCCTCTTTTGGAAGACCAAACAAAGTAGTTTCGCTTTCGCAACGAAGCACTCAGCGTCTTCACGACATGGCTGCAGCGTCAACAATACTACAGTGAGAATAAAAGTTATGCCTTCTTTCTTTGTGTGAACATTTGGGCGCCGTTATGTAAATCTTCCCACATCGTGACGTAGATATGTGGGGGCGTGTTAGAATGAGCCGTTTTAGATAGGTGTGGAAAAATTTTAATCGCATCATATGACCCCTTTAAACGAGGCATTTTAGGAGGGCTTGGACAAGTCTTAACGTTTATAAAGAATATCTCTTTGGATTTGAGACTTTAGTCTTTGCAACTTTACAGATCTTCTTTATGCACCAAGAGCTTGTAACACTCCAAAGAGAAAGGAAAAAATGTAATCGCATCATATGACCCCTTTAAAAATACATTGTTAGAATAATAAGAAACTGTAGAGTTGTTACCATTCAAATTAAATCAGTATCAACAAACTCCATCTTTCCACTGCAGAGGAAACACTGAAGCTGCATCGAAAGTGCCATTTAGATGTATTTTACTCAGACTGTTTCATGAAGATAAGAGGTTCCATAAATGCATTTACAAAATTGCAAATGCATAAATAATGTTATAAGATTATTGTTTTACTTTTTTTTAACATACAAATATGAAATGTTGGAAAAATGCAATGATACACCAGGCCTGGAGTTTATTTTGTGTTTTGGTTTTGTTTGTGTGCGACAGTCGTCCGCGAGGGGCTGTCGTGCTGTTTTGTGTTTATTTTATTATTAAAGTTTTGTTCTCATTATCAATTACGCCACTGGCCTCGCTCCATTCCCATGGCTGTCGGCCCCACCCCTCTCGACACCGTAATAAAATCAGAATCATTGTCGCCAAAGTTTCGGCGCTGTTCTAGTTATTGTTTGTTAATGACGTTTTAAATGGGTTACTTGTCCGGGCGGGCAAGTAAAATTCTCTTTCACTTGTCCCTTCACAAAATCCACTTGTCTCGGACAAGCGGACAAGCGTTAATGTCGAGCCCTGATATAATATTTGTAAAATTAGAAATATCACTAAATTCAGATTAGATTGTAAAATGCCAATAAATATGCACCTGTAATCATAAGTTATTAGTGATATTAATTTCTACATTTAAACAGCCTACAGTTAAGGAACTTTCCACAATATTGTTTTATTCAGATTATTATTATTACGTTTTTTATACGTTTTTTTTTTTTAATTGGTATCTTTTATCATATTGCCATTGCTGTTGTTTTATGAAAGCAGTAAGCCATGTTGCATTACAGTGATTTTAATCTTTACCACTTACCTGTGGAAAAATCATGGTAACACTTAAACTATTGTAGCTCACTGTTTTAATGGCTGCGTCTCAGTATGAAATGGCCACTCAAATGCCTGTATAAAAATGTACTGTGGCTGTACCGGCGTAAAATCATAGTATCAGATGGTATGATGGTAATATGATATACACCATAGTACTGAATGGTTATATACCTCAGTACTTTAAAGAAAACCATGGTATGTGTCCAAAAAAGAAAAAAGAAAGAAAAAAAGTGGGCAACAATGTGAAAAACAGAGCTCTTCAGATCAGACTGTTGGCCACTCTCCTTCACTCCTCCCTCACTAACAGAAAAAGCTTCCAAGGAATCTGCAAAACAAATAAATATATACTAACTTCACCCATCTCTTTTATATTGCTTACATGCACAGAAATTAAACAGATCTGGAATTCAGTCAGTGCTCAAGAGAGCAAACTCTGCGCTTAGCACATGCAGCCGGATGAAAACTTTCAGACCAAAAACTAGCTAAAATGAGAAAAATCTTTCTGGTGCCCTTGGTGACATTAGCATCTGGTACAAAGCAGCTCTGGACGGATACAAAGTTTTCATTGTAAATGAACTGGACAGGCGAGTTGACCTTTGAGTTTGTGTCAGTCAAAACGGCACAGTCTGGAGTCTGCAGCACAGACCGACACACAAACACACACACAGTCGCTCATATTTTAGATGAATCATGCTGATAATAGTCATTAGAGTGTGTTTAATCTCAAATAGGCCCTTTGCTTTCTCGGAAAGCCTGTCTGCACACAGATCTTAGATCAGATTGGTCCTGTTCCTGCTTCATATCAGAGGCTAAACTTGTTCAGGATCCTCCCACAGGGACAGTTATAAAGATCCAGAGTTGTTGTCCTAAAGTTAACATTGAATGAGATAGCCAAATGAGATTGTATCTCGGGAGTTGTCAGAAATCACATTGCTGATTTATACATTGTACACTCCTGGCCAAAACGTATTCTGAATTTGAGCGTATATGGCAGCTTCTGCTGATCACCAGTTAAATCTACTGCCAAGACGAAATAGTTATTTTCCAGTGTTTTTGTTCTCTAAGAGGTAAAGTGAATAGTTTTTACCACAGACAGACATCTAGCTTTTCTGAGACTGAGATCCCCACATTAATGAAAAAATCAAAACAAATATCTGCAAAAAAAATAAAAAATAATAATAAATATGTACATTTCTAATTGATGTTCAATTTTCAGTAAAAAAAAAAAAATCCTTAAAGAAATGAATCTGATATTAAGATTCAGATATTAATAGAGAGTTTTTTTCTCTGTCCATCGGGATATTGACATTTCCATTTGTGCTTTAACTATTAATCTAACAAAATTCAGTTTTTGCTTTAGAAAAAATCCAATTCAAATCCAAAGAGGTAAATATTTATCTGAATCGTTTCAGTATTGTTATTGTATTATTTTAGACAAGTTTATAACAAAAAAAACTATTATTGCAGTGTGTAAATCATTCATAAGTCCATTTTTACATAAATTGTCACATTGAACTGAATGCTGCACTTTATGTTGGAATGTTTTTTACAAATGACAGAAATGTATGCTGTTTGCGTTTCATGAATATATATATATATATATATATATATATATATATATATAT